ATAAAAAAAAAATATTAATGTAAATTAAGTATGTTGTATAATGACAAAAAATTTAGGGTAAATACGAGTTTAGTATCTAAATTATCAGTTTTGGTATGTTTTAGTATTTAGACCTTTATTTTTTAAAATTATACCTAAAGTTTAGTTTTTGTTTCATTTTAGTACCCCCATTCAAAATTTAACGTTAAATTTTAAAGAAAAAAATAAAAGGTTAGGTACTTAAATGGATCAAAACTAATAGTTTAGGTACTAAATGTGTAAAGTTATTAACAGATGACTACTAAAATGAAATAAAAACTAAACTTTAGGTATAATTTTGAAAAAATTAAAAATTTAGGTACTAAAGTACTAAATGCATAGTTTACCCAAAATATTTATTGGAATTAGGTTCTTGTGGACAGTTAATCTTATACTATTTGCTCCTAAATGATTTATTTCTATTTTTTTAAAAGATAAATGAACGAAAAATAATAATATTTAAAATTTTAATTATTATTTATTCTATCGACATTAATTGAGTGATTCAATCAGCTCAATAGACCTCAAATTAGATCAGATAAAATTTAACTTAATTTTTTTTATAATTATATTATGATCCAATTCATGAAAATACTTGTTCATAATTGTATCCTAATACTTATTTTATTTTTATTGTAATATTGGTGTATTTAAATTTAGAATTTTAGAAGTCGATGATAGGTTTAAGTGGGAAAGGAATATTATTATTTTGTAGATGATTTGGGTTTGAGTATTTTATTTGTAGGTAATGACGGGATTTAAAATTTAAAAATTGAGTTTAAAATTTTAATATATTTCTTAAAAAATGAATATGATTTTTTTATTTTTTTCTTTTAACACATTAAATTAAATTTTATTATTTTCTAAAATAATAGGAATGTACTTACTCTCCTAGAGACTTAATGCATTCATTCTTATTTATAGATATGTATGAATTTATTTATATTTTAAAATCTAACATAGACACTACATTTTTATCATATTAAAATCTTTGAAAATATTAAAAATCTAAATTTTTAAGAAAACAAAAAAAAAAGGATAGAAGGTAAATAAAAATTGAAATTTTACGTCAAAATAAAAAAAAATGAGAATGAGAAGCAAAATAAAATAACATAAGGGGAATTGTTTAGCTAAATATAACAAATTCAACCACTCACTGCTTAGCTTATTATATAGTCCTTCTATTTTAACAAGAGAGAGATTCCTCCTCCATTCTACATTAATGCATAAAATAAAATTCCTATTTTAATTTTGATCTCATAAACTATGGGTAGGCTAAGGCTACTCTCATTAGGTCCCCTCATGATTCCAAATTCCAAAGAAATAATGAATAATTATATTCTTTATTATTATTATTCAAATTTAAAATATTAATCAAACTTATCAAATTGTTTTAATAGTAAAATAGAATGATATTTTCTAAATATCTTGTACTGTATGTTGTTAATTAGTTAAGAAAATTCTAAACATATACTATATTATAATTACTCTAAATTAATTTAAAAAATACTAATCAAGTAATCTTAGTAGCTAAAATAAATGTTTTTTCACTTGAGGTATTGAGTTTGAATAATTGTGTATGTATGATATACATCATTAAGAAATATTTTAAATATATATTACCACGAATATTAAAAAATGTTAATCGAAACATTTATCCATTAAATAACCAAGTTTAGTAAATGAAAAGAAATTTAACCTAAAATTTATAAGGTAAAATCGTTATTATAATTCAAATGCAAATCAATTATATACTAATCAAATTTGAATATTTAACTTTGTTATTTACAATAATAAAATAGGAGGACAGAAAAACAGAAATGAAGCCAAGCATGGTGGGTTGGGGGACAAGAAAGCGGCTTTTGAGTAGGGTTTTGCCGGTTACAGACCGCGACATTTAACTAACTTACGCCCGTCCTTTCCTTTCATAAACACGTACCCATTCATGAACAAGATGCATGGGGAATATGTCAGTCACACGCACCTTCTTATCCCTTCCAACGATGTTGTATCATACTGTCCGTAGAGGACGGCACGCGCGTTCCAAAATACTATTAATATATATAAGTAAATAAAACTCCATCCCATTAAAAAAAAAGTTTTACTTTTTTTTATTTGATTTAAAATAAATTTAAATTTGGTCTAATTTATAGATTGATTTTCAAGTTTGAAGTGAGTTTCTCAATTTTACATAATATATACAAAATATGAAGAGGAATATATGTATATAGTATAAGATTATAAAAAATTATTTAAATTGAAATTAAATAGTACCATAATATTATAAATATTTACAATTTAATCTAGATATAAACTCGAACAACTGGACTAGACTAGAAAGTAATTCAAATGAAGTTTGAGTTATAAAATAACACTCTTCAACTTGAATAACTCAAAAAAAATTTACTCGACTCGATCAAATACTCACCCTTATTAATAATTTTGATATATAATGTCGAAATGATGAGTGATTTTTTTAATAATTTGAATAAAATAATTGTTGGAAAAATAATAGTTTAATTGAATAAAATTGATGATATTTATAATAAATTATGTCACTTGGTGAATAAACTTAATATAATAAGTCATGTCACTTAGTGAATAAACTTATTTTTTTAGTTTAAAGTTGCATTCATTTAATCATATCTATTCAATAATTCTCTTTTTGAAAAGATTAATTCCTTTCACAAAAAGATTAAACCCTTTCATCAAAAGGACACAACACAACATAAGTTACAAGACACAATTCACAGTGTTGAATTAGAAAACACTCAGAAAATTTATTCCAAATTCGTTCTTTTCGGTGATAGAGAAAGACAAGATTGTGTTCGACTGATCACTACAATTGTACTTAATGTTGTGATCGTTTGTTGTTGTATCCTGAGAGATTGTCGTCCAACGTTACTCAAAACACATAGGAGATGACGAATCTGTCTTAAGGAAACTATTCATACAGGCTTCAACAAAAATCCTTCTTCGATTTATCTTACTCTACTAATCCTATTCAGTGTCTACATACGAGTAAACAAATCACGTTCCTTTATTTTAATTCTTTATTTATTTTGCTTCGTTTGATTATATAATAATATTTATTATTATTATTATTTTTTATCTTAGATTAATATTTTTTCTAACAATATTAAGACAGATTCATATTTTTTTTATTCTAATCCTAGATGTCATACAAATGATTGTATTATTGAAATTATAGCCAAGGTGAATTACCAACGAATAAACAGATGTGAGGCTTGTGCTTTGTCTTTTGTGGATGTCTTGTGCTTTAAACCATAAATTGTCCAAGTCGTGCATGTTGTAAAGCATCAAAAGTTCTTGAGTGATTGTGCACCAAGTTTTGTTTTTGTTGTTGCGCACATAGCTTTGTCCTTTGTTGATGCTTCAAGTTGGCAACAATTAGAGGTGGGTATACGGGCTACCCGCCCGTTTAGCCCGCGGGTTTTGACGGTGCGGGCTTAAACGGAGCGGGCTAAAAAACTCACATTCATAAACGGTTTTGAATTTTAAGGCCCACGGTCCGCCCATTTAACCCGTGGGCTAAACGGGCTTACCCGCGGCCCGTTTAATAAAAATAATTTTAAATGTTTTAAATGCAAAAAAAATAATATTTTAACTTACTACACCTTTAAAAATGATCGAGCAACTTGAAAAGGAAGGTAGCACCGTCAAAATAATAAATAATATTTAATTTTTATTTTAAATAGCCGAAAATGATTATAAAATAATATTTTTTTTTAAATTTTTTAATCATTAATAAATATATATATATATAATGATATAATTACTTAAACTCAAATTAAAAAAACAATATTCACTTATATCACCAAATTGAAATACAAATAAAGCAATAACCACATTACACTTTTATAAATTGAAAGCATAAATTCAAACATAAAATTCAACAAAGTCAAACATTATACAAATCTAACAAGAAAGTTTCAAGTGTCCTAATAATTGTATTTTATGGATACTTTAGAGAAAGACTAAAACATAATATGAAAATATAAAATACTTACAGTATAAGAGTAAATTTGAAAGATACAGTTATACTAAAATTGATAAAATATAAGTCATTAATTTGTTAAAATATATTTATTTGTAAAAGTCTTTAAAGTTGAAAAGTATATTTTCAATTTTTTCTTTTACTTATTTTACTTATTTTAATCCAAATATTACGTGTCATGTGATATATTATTAGAATATCACGTGACTTTTATAATTAAAGAACAAAATAGATAACATACTTCATGGAAAAAATAAAGGTCAAAATTAAATAAAAAAATCTTTAAATACCAAAATGATAATGATGTATATTTAAATGAAAAAAATATCAAGCAGCGGTAAAATTATGACTAACGCCCTAATAAATTTAAGAACTACAATAGTTATAAGTAACATCATATTTATAGGTAATTTATTTTCTTTTTCTATAAAATTCTTTAAGTTTATTTTATCTAAAATTTTATGAATTTTAAATTAAGCGGACTTTAGCGGGTTTCGCGGGTAACCCGCGGTTATACCCATTAAACCCGCGGATTTAACTGTCCGGGCTAAAAAGCTCGCAATTTAAACGATCTTTAATTTTTGAGGCCCGAAGCCCGCACGGATCGCGGGTTAAACGGGTAGCCCGCGGGCCTTAGCCCGTATATCCAGCTCTAGCAACAATGAAACTAAGGATGAAATAGTTTTTTCAAGCGTGATAAAGAAGATTGTTAGAGTTTTGGAATCAATTCTAAATTGACGAAAGACAAGACAAATATATTGTTGTCCACGACTACATTCGCAATGTGAAGAAAGAATGGACAAACTAGTGATTTGAAGTATTCTACTTTGAATTAAAGTTGAATCTTGATGGACATGAAAAGATTTCTATTTCCAAGGAAATGTAACATCTTTTCCTAACCATTTCCAAGAAAGGTAACACCTTTTCATTTGAATCCACACATATATATATATATTTATATATATTTATGTTTTGAGTTGACATACTAAAGAAGCAGATTTCAATCTTTATTGATTTTATTTCTCAATTTAACTAGTCATTTTTAATTGCTAAATTACTTTGGTTGGTTGGAAAGGACAATTCACATAGGAAATGACATTTCACATATGAAAGGATCAACAAATAGTTATCTTCGTCCTCAATTCTTAAGGAAGTTGAAGGCATTATGGATGCTTAGGATAAGGCCCCATTAACTTTATGTTATGACTTCACAACCTTTTGCAGGTTCAAAGAAAAAAATCTTTATTTTTATCCCGTCCACAAGCCTTGATGTAACGTGATAAGACTTGTAATTTTTTTTGTGACGAATGGTGAATTTCGATCAAGAAATCGAAAAGGTATGTGTATTTATACATTGAGATTATACTACTATTTCGGTTTTATTAAATTATCACCGTTCAACAGAAAGTTAGTTTTGTTTCGAGATTTAATTTATTAAATTCTAGTCGTTCAACAGAAATTGGTTCTGTTTTGGGTTTTAATCCCGTTGTCCAACAGAAGTTGGTTTTGTTTTGAATTTTAGTTTTAAATCCCGACTTTTAACGGATTCAATAAAATAGTGTTGATTGTACATTTCTGTTTTGGGTTTTAGTTTTACTAAATTCATGTCGTTTAACAGAAATTACTCAGTTGTTGGATTTTAGTTTTGACTAAAATTCGTTGTGATAAATAAGGTATTGAACGAAATTATGATATGTCTGTGAACAAAAATAGGCCTATAATTCGGTTTCAAGATTTTAATCTTATTGTTCAACAAATTTATTGATTTAGTACATTTCTGTTTGGGTTTAGTTTTACTAAATTCATGTCGTTTAACAGAATTACTCAGTTGTGGATTTAGTTTTGACTAAAATTCGTTGTGATAAATAAGGTATTGAACGAAATTATGATATGTCTGTGAACAAAAATAGGCCTATAATTCGGTTTCAAGATTTTAATCTTATTGTTCAACAAAATTTATTTGATTTACTATTGATAACATAAATCGTTTGGAGGTAACAACATTGTTACAAAAAAAATTTAGAATTTTAATTTCTAATTAAATTTTATTGTTTAATAGAAACAAATGATAAAATAAATTGAATTAACTTTCAATTTATTGTTGGAATATTTACAAATTCTGGTTACGTGTTTGAAACGAAATAATGGTAACCCCTCTGATTCACCTAATTCGTGATTTGAAATATTGATTCCTATTCAGACTTTGAATAAAATTCAACGATGTCAGTGGTTGTGAGCCACAACGAGAAGCATGTGAAATTCATGGATAGAATTTCAAGACATAGTGACATAAGATGTTATATTTAATCATGCTGAATATGATCAAATATAGGATGATCCTCCTATTCATAGAGAGGATGAGATAGACATTATTGTCATTAAAGTTTGAAAGCATTATAAGTTTTTATGTCGGAATTATATCTTGAATAGATTGTCATTACACCATATGAAGTGTATAATATCCATAAGATTGCTAAAGAATTATGAATGACGTTTGGTCATGTTTTGAGTTGTCACATAACATGTGGTGGAAGCTATTTTATTAGCAAATTACCTTTAAATAAGGTAACTTACAAGAAAATAGGATAGACACCATATGAGTTATGGAAATGTAGAAAACTTTCCTACAACTACATCAAAGTGTGGGGGTGCCTTATATAAGTATAATGGTAAGTTTGAGACACATAATTTGTCGACATAATATCATTAAACAATTGATCTCAACTAGAGTTATCTATATTGATTTTGTACGATCAAAAGATAACATTGTGGATCCGCTAAACAATGAGTTGAATCGAGATCAAGTTGATAAACATCGAAAGGAATGTGATTAAAACCCATTAATATTTAAGGCGCTATGTGAAGGAGAACTCAACCTAGTTGACTGGAGATCCCAAGATCTAGGTTCAATGGGACAACCTACTTGCATAGACCTTGTGAGGTCACTGTAGGGGTCCTTATCCCAAGTTCATTCCTATTATGAAAATAATGACTAAAATGTGGATGAGGTTAAGCAATGCTTTTAATAACCAATATGTGTTTCGTTTAACCGAACAACATAAGTCACCTATGTAAGAGTGAAGTGGATCCGCTTCAAAGAGACTATTGGGGCATAGTTCTCTAAACTCTTGCAGAATCAGGAGATGTCCACAGCTATATGTACATAACCATGAGAACCAAATTCTTGTCAGTGAGATATTTTTGTGAGGTATGACATCGCTTACACCAACAACATAATAGTTCAATGGCATTACGTCTGCTAGACAACCAGTAAGGTAAACATATTTTCGCAAGGGAAGGTTCGAAGGAGGATGCCTACCTATCCTATGCAAATATCAAACGTAAAATCTATCACCATATTGAGTCAATGTTTGAAATCATCAATTTCATTCATGTAGGGGATTATTGGAAAAATAATAGTTTAATTGAATAAAATTGATGCTATTTATAATAATTCATTTCACTTGGTGAATAGACTTATTATAATAAGTCATGTCACTTGGTGAATGGACTTATTTTTTAGTTTAAAGTTGCATCCATTCAATCATACCTATTCAACAATTCTCTTCATGAAAGTGTTGAAGAATCGGGCAAAGATAACGAAAGAACACAAGAATTTTAACGAGGTTCAATAATGTGCTTACGTCCTCGGTGCCTAGGCGGCGCTAGAAGTTTTATTCAATGTTTCAAAGGTTTAGGTTACATCTCTATTTATAATAAAAAAAACCTGGTACATAATTACATAATTAACTTTGTACCGTCCTCTTTACCAGTATATTTATGAGCCATACCTTACAAATCTCCACCTTGGAGAATATCCTACCCCTTAGGAAACATTCAATGTGGGTTGGGTTACCTTACTTCTTTAAAAACTCGAAACATTCAACAAGTCCAAGCAATGCTTGAACTTGTCTGTCGTAACTAGCTTGGTGAACATATCAGCGGCATTCTCATCAGTATGTACCTTCTAAAACAAAACCTCTCCAGATGCAACCAAATCTCTGATCTTGTGAAAACGTACATCAATATGTTTAGTTCTAGCACGATATACCTGATTCTTAGCCAAGTGAATAGCACTTTGATTGTCGCAAAACAACTGAACTCGACCTTGCTGAATACCCAACTTTTTCACTAATCCAGTAAGCCATAAAGCTTCTTTTGTAGCTTCAGCCACTGGCATGTATTCAGCTTCAGTTGTAGATAGTGCCACAACAGATTAAACAGTAGACTTCCAACAAAAAGGCCATCCGCCAAGAGTAAACACATACCCTGTCGTAGATCTTCTATTATCCAAGTCACCAACATAGTCTGAATCCATATATCCTACAACCAAAGGATTATCTCGCTGACTACCAAAAACAATTCCATGTCCCATAGTACCCTTTAAGTACCGAAAAATCCACTTGACTGCTTCCCAATGTTGCTTACTAGGTTTAGACATGTACTTACAAACTTGACTAACAACATGAGCTAAATTAGGACGAGTACATACCATTGCATACATCAAGCAGCCAACAACATTAAAATACAGAACCTTTTCCATATCTTCAGCTTCCTTATCTGTCTTCGGGAACTGTTCTAATGAGAGCTTAAAGTGATTCGCCAATGGAGTGCTAACTGGTTTTGCGCTGCTCATCGCAAACCTTTCTAGCATTTTCTCAACATAACCCTATTGAGATATCCACAGTTTCCTTGAGTCTCTGTCCCTGCAAATTTCCATTCCAAGAATTTTCTTTACAGCACCTAAATCTTTCATATCAAATTCCTGACTCGATAAGGTTTTCAAACCAATAACATCATCCATGTTCTTCACATCAATCAATATATCATCAACATCCAATAACAGAAAAATAAAAGAACCATCATCAAGGCTCTTAACATAGACACAACAATCATACTCACATTGGTTGTAGCCAATCTTTATCATATAGGAGTCAAACCGTTTATACCACTGTCTCGGAGAATGTTTCAACCCGTACAAAGATTTCTTCAATCTGCAAATTAAATGCTCATTTCCAAGTTGAGTGAAACCTTCAGGCTGCCGCTTGTAGATCTGTTCCTCTAAATCACCATGTAAAAAAGCAGTTTTAACATCCATCTGCTCTAAATGCAAATCCCAACTAGCCACCAATGCAAGTACTGCTTGGATTGAAGTGTGCCTGACCATAGGAGAAAAGATTTCATCATAATCAACTCATTTCTTCTGTGAAAAACCCTTTGCTACCAAGCGAGCCTTGAACTTCTCCCCCTTTTTTTTTGTTACTGTTGGTTTCTTCTTATACACCCATTTGCAACCAATCGGCTTCTTACCCTCAAGAAGGGGAACTAACTCCCATGTACGATTGTGATTCAAAGACTCCCTCTCCTCAACCATGGCAACCATCCACTTGTCGTTTTCCTGACTAGTAATGGCATCATGAAAAGTAACCGGATCATCACTGCTAACAGTAAGTGCGAAAGAGACCAAGTCTTCAAAACCCAATATGCTCGGGGGCTTTATATTCGTCTGTCTCACCCTGTCTCTGGAGAGACTATAATCCTACAAATCATCCGTAACGGAACCACCAGAAGTCGGTTGAGAAGTTTCTGGTTTCTCAACTAGAAACTGCTCGAAATACACCACTGTCGTATCTTTCTTCTGCTGCAACATGGATTTGTCATCAAAAACAACATCTTTACTGGTCAGAATTTTCTTCGTAACTGGATCACAGAACTTGAATCCTTTGACACCTTTCTTGTAACCCAAAAAAATGCACTCCTTCGATTTTGCATCAAGTTTGGATCTCTCATCAGTAGGTACATGCACATAAGCATGACAACCAAAAATTCGTAAGTTATCAAAACTAACATCATGATCAGTCCATACCTCTTCTGCAACTTTCCCAGCCAATGATTCCCTTGCCGATCTATTGATAAGATAACACGCCATGTTAACAGCCTCGGCTCAGAAGTGTTTGGGAAGCCCCGCATTCAACCGCAAACATCTGGCTCTTTCATTCAACGACCTGTTCATCTGTTCCGTAATACCATTCTGTTGTGGTGTCTTGCGCACTGTAAAATGTCTCTTAATCCCGTGCTCCTTACAGAAGTGTAAGAACTATGAATCTGTGTACTCCGTACCATTTTCAAACCGCAAACACTTGATGTTTCATCCTGTTTGGTTTTCTACCTTAGCTCTCCACAGCTTGAACTTCTAAAAAACGTCTGACTTCTATTTCAAAAAACACCCAAACTTTCCGTGAAAAATTGTCAATAAGAATAATATAATACCTAAATCCACCCAGAGACGATGTCGTGGAAGGCCCCCATACATCAGAGTGCACATAATCAAGAATCCCTTGAGTTGTGTGCTTCGCAATATTGAAACAGACTTTAGTCTGTTTACCAATAACACAATACATGCAAAAATCGAGCTTACAACTTTTGACACCATGCAACAAATTTCTTTTGTGTAATTCTTTCATACCATGTTCACTAAGATGAGCAAGACGCATATGCCACAGTTTTGTAGTATCATCACAGAACTCAACAGAATGAACTCCACCTACAACGGTACTCCCTAACAATCTGTAAATATTCCCTGCCGTCGTCTTTCCTTTCATCACAGTCAAAGCTCCTTTAACAATCCAAATGGTCTCCCTATCCTCATCAGCCTTAGGGATAAAACCATTCTTGTGCAAAGTGCCCAAAGAAATCAAATTCTTCTTCAAATCTGGGACATGTCGAACACCACTCAACGTCCGAACAGAGCCATCATACATCTTAATTATAACATCACCAATACCAACAATATTGAACATCGATCATCACCCAAATAAACAGAACCAGAATTAACCAACCTGTATGTCGAAAACCATTCCCTATTTGGCGTGATGTGATAAGAACATCCAGAATCAAGAATCCACGCATCCGTCAATTGAGTCTTTGAAATAGAAAGCTGTTGGGATTTTCGGAAGCTCGAATCGACAACCGGAATGGTTTGCAAAGAGGGGTCGAAACGGTTTTGTGTTTAGGGAGTAAGGAGATTGAAAGATAGAGAATTGCACAACGATTTATAGTGGTTCGACTTTCTCAACTAAAGTCTACGTCCACTACCTTAGCTCCTCACCAAGGATTTTCCAACAAATTCATTAATTTGTTCTTTCTTTTGAGGACAAAGAGTAACCTTACAAACTCCCTAGTTTTTTTTGTTAAACTAGAACTTTTCCCCTTTACAAAAGGATAAAAGAAGTAAACAAATAAACCTCTCAAAGGTAGGTGTTTACAAGATTGAGCTCACAAGAACAAAACATTTACAAGAGAAAGATGAAATAAAAATGAAAAACTATTCTCTTGTGTTTGATTGCTTGGATAGTTGTTCTCTTGCTTCTTCAAGTGTCCTTAGCTTGTATTTATAGCTTAGAATGTGTTTGATGTTGTATATAGCCATTGAGGATGTTTTAGAGCCGTTTGGGGATGATTTTTCTACTCAAAAAGGTTGCCCATAATATGGTGCATCGGTGCACTATCATGGTGCATCGATACCCCTTTATTAAATTCAAATAAACTAGTTGTTACTAGCCGTTGTAGCCTTCGTGCATGGATGCACAGCAGGATGCATCGATGCACAGCAGGATGCATCGATGCACAACCTTGATGCATCGATGCACAGAAGGATGCATCGATGCACAGAAGGATGCATCGATGCACAGAAGGATGCATCAATGCACTAATTGCATTCGGTGTTTGAGTGCATGGATGCACTGTATGGTGCATCGATGCACTAGTGCAAGTGCATGGATGCACTGTAGGGATGTATGGATGCACTGCAAGGGTGTATGGATGCACTTTGACACCCTTTAGCATTTTTGCTCAAATCCGAATTTAATGGACTTTGAATTATTTTTGAAACCTTTTAAAGCTTTGAATAAATTCAATTAAGTCCAAAAACATTTTCTAAATTCAATTCAAGTCCAAAAACCATTTTGCCTTAAATTGTTATATCAAAACATAGTTCAACAATCTCCCCCTTTTTGATATAACAAAACATTTGAAAAATTGTTTTTGGCAAAACTCCCCCTTAATAAATTGTTTAATGAAAAAGATATCAATTGTTAACAATTGTTGGAAAATATATGAAAATGTTAAGCTCCCCCTTTTTTATTTAGAAATTGAATTTTTCAAACCAAACTTCTCCCCCTTTTCTTAAAATCAAAAATAATTCGATCTTTGAAGTTCAAAATAACTTTAGAGAGTAAGTGGTAAATTTGGCATTTAAAAATCATTTGAAAAATCAAAGCTCCCCCTCAATAAATGCATTCCAATCAAAATTTAGCTTTAAGAATTTGACACTTAAAAAGAAATTGAATTTCTACAAAGAATAAAAAATGTGTTAGTAGCACATGAAATTTAATATATCCAATACTAAAATACTTTATGCAATACCAATTGTTGAAATTTGATATCAATACCATTTGTTAAAATTAAGTGTATATGCATAAAGTTTTCCAAAAATGTTATGCATTTTGAAAATTTTGATATCAATTGTTAGAGAAATATCATTTTCATTTAAACCACATGCATAAACATTCATATTTAGGTCAAAAATTTAAAATTTGTAAAATCAAAGTATTTGAAAATTTGATATTAATTGTTAGAGAGATATCATTTGCATTAAAACCAATTTTGACCAAAATTTTATTATGATGAACTAAAAAATCTTAAAAATTAATATAACTTTAAAATGTTCATCATAATCATCTTTTCAACATACATGAGATTAAAACGATGATGCATAATCATTTAAAACCAAAACTCATGCATGCTTAAAATCAAATGAGCAACCAAATAACCAAAATTAAATCATTAAGCTTAGAGGTTACCCATTCCTTTTTCATGTGTGGCTAGAGCATCTTGAATATTATCACTTTCATCACCATTGCTCTCACACACCTACAAGAGACATTTATTTTGATTTTCGTATCCAAATTGCTTTGGATCCTTTAACGTTAGTTTCAATGCCTCTTGTTCCTTTCGGAATCCATACTTGTCTAATTTTAAAACGTTTTCCTTTCTTCAAAGGACAAGTATGTTCCTTGTGACCATGATAATGACAATATGAGCATATTGTCATTATTGAACTAAATGAATTATTTAAAATGATTTCTTTTTCTTTTGTTAAGTATTCAAGCTTAACTTTTAAATCAAAATTTTCTTTTTCAAAACTTTCAATTTTTATTTTTGAAAGCTCTAAATCCTTTTTCAAAATTTCATTTTGGCTTTCAAAATCTATTTTTGTTTTCAAAAGAAAATCATTTTCGATTTTAAATTTTGAAATCATTTTCTTATATTTGGAGTTCATGGGTCTCAAACTCCGAATATAACCTATTAAAAGCATCTTGTAACTCATCAAACGTATAAATTAATTCAATGCTCGAGCTTATTCCAAGCTCCTTGCACTTGAACATGAAGAAACTCCTTCATAGATTTTAGGACCAAATGCACACAACACTATGTGCATGGCCTTGGTATTAAGTTGAGCTTTCTTCCGTTCTTTGTCACTCCGCTTTTTCTCATTCTTCTTTGGAGAAGATTATCCGTTCTCGATTATCTCCCATGCATCAAGATCATTGGATTGGATGAATACCTTCATTAATTTCTTCCAATGACGATAGTTGACTCCATTGAAGTATGGAGGCTTGTCCGTTGGTAGGGAGTCTTCCAAGTGGAACGAGCCGGAGGTGGAAACCATCTTCTCGGTTGTGTCAGGAATTAGTAGATATTCTTCGAGGATCGTCTCAAGGTGGTTAAACCTTCTTAACGAGTTAGGCTTTGATACCAATTGTTTAGATTTTCGGAAGCTCGAATCGACAATCGGAATGGTTTGCAAAGAGGGGTCGGAACGGTTTTGTGTTTAGGGAGTAAGGAGATTGAAAGATAGAGAATTGCACAACGATTTATAGTGGTTCGACTTTCTCAACCAAAGACTACGTCCACTACCTTAGCTCCTCACCAAGGATTTTCCAACAAATTCAATAATTTGTTCTTTCTTTTGAGGACAAAGAGTAACCTTACAAACTCCCTAGTTTTTTTAGGGTTAAACTATAACCTTTCCCTAGCTTTTACACGGATTAGCTAGAACCTTTCCCCTTTACAAAAGGATAAAAGAAGTAAACAAATAAACCTCTCAAAGGTAGGTGTTTACAAGATTGAGCTCACAAGAACAAAATATTTACAAGAGAAAGATGAAATAAGAATGAAAAACTCTTCTCTTGTGTTTGATTGCTTAGATAGTTGTTCTCTTGCTTCTTCAAGTGTCCTTAGCTTGTATTTATAGCTTGGAATGTGTTTGATGTTGTATATAGCCGTTGAGGATGTTTTGGAGCCGTTTGGGGATGATTTTTCTACTCAAAAAGGCTTCCCATAACATGGTGCATCGGTGCACTATCATGGTGCATCGATACCCCTTCATTAAATTCAAATAAACTAGCCGTTACTAGCCGTTGTAGCCTTCGTGCATGGATGCACACCAGGATGCATCGATGTACAGCAGGATGCATCGATGCACAGTAGGATGCATCGATTCACTAATTGCATTCGGTGTTTGAGTGCATGGATGCACTGCATGGTGCGTCGATGCACTAGTGCAGGTGCATGGATGCACTGCAGGGATGCATGGATGCAGTGCAGGGGTGCATGGATGCACTTTGACACCCTTTAGCAATTTGGCTCAAATCTGAATTTAATGGAGTTTGAATTATTTTTTAAACCTTTTAAAACTTTAAATAAATTCAATTAAGTCCAAAAACATTTTGTAAAGTCAATTTAAGTCTAAAAACCATTTTGCCTTAAATTGTTATATCAAAACATAGTCAACAAAAGCTTATCACCCTCACTGCAATCAGAATTGTCATCCTCAACCACGTTCATAGACTTGGATGAAACATCACAGTTCTCATCAGTCTGCTTTTTCAACTTCGGACAGTCTCGTTTCATATGTCACGCCTCCTTGCACTTGTAACAGTGAATTGTCTTCTTATCCCTAGATTTGGATATGGAGTTCCGCTTGCCTGTCTTCTCTGGCTTCCGTCCACGGTCTCGATTACCCTTGACATATAAGCTATCGGCTTGAGAGTTTTCCCCTGTATTCTGCTTCCGCTGGTTGTGAGCCAACAAGGCTGCAGTAATCTCCTCAACATTGATAGTCTCTTTCCCATATGTAAGAGTAGTCACCATGTGTTCGTAAGAGGGAGGCAACGAACACAACATAATCATCGCTCTGTCTTCATCCTCAATTTTCACATCAAGCCGAGCCAAATCAGAAACGATTTGAATGAAGACATTCACGTATTGCGCCAAATAATGATCATCCTACATCTTCAGCCCATACAACCGCTGCTTTAGATACAATTTTGTCGTTAAGGATTTGGACATAAACTGACTTTCCAACTTCCTCCAAATTTTGTCTGGAGACGACAAATGCATGACATGATACATAACCTCGTCCGCTAAGCATAATCGTATGGTTCCTGCCGCTCGCTGTTGCAATTCTTCTCAATCGTCCTCCTCCATCGACGTTGGCTTTGTAGGTCGTAGAGCCTTCAGGATCCCCTGCCGCTCACTGTTGCAATTCTTCCCAATCGTCCTCCTCCATCGACGCCGGCTTTGTAGGTCGTAAAGCCTTTAGGATCCCCTACTGCGCCAACAGATCCTTCACCCTCGTTTGCCATAATCCGAAGTTACCCTAACCATCGAATTTCACAACTTTGAATTTTGCTCCTGACATCTGATACCAATTGTTGAAGAATCGGGCAAAGATAACAAAAGAACACAAGAATTTTAACGAGGTTCGGCAATGTGCTTACGTCTTCGGTGCCTAGGCGGCGCTAGAAGTTTTATTCAATGTCTCATAGGTTTAGGTTACATCTCTATTTATAATAAAAAACCTGGTACATAATTACATATCCTTTCACGAAAAATTTAAGCCCTTTCATCTAAAGGATAAGTCTTTTCATCGAAAGGACTTAACCCTTCAATCCATTTCCTCTCCTTATATATAGGTTACTTGAGGCACAATTCTAAGACACAACACAACATAAGTTACAAGACACATTCACTGTGTTGAAGTAGAAAACACTTAGAAATTTCCTTCTAAATTCGTTCTTTCCGGTGATAGAGAAAGACAAGAATGTGTTCGACTGATCACTACGGTTGTGCTTACTATTGTGATCTTTTTTTGTTGTATCATGGGAGAATGACATCCAACGTTACTCAAAGAACCTAGGAGATGACGAATCTATCTTGAGGAAACTATTCATACATGCTTCAACAAAAATCCTTCTTCGATTTATCTTACTCTACTCATCATATTCAGTGTCTACATACGAGTAAACAAATCACATTTCTCTATTTTAATTCTTTATTTTTTTTGCTTCGATTATATAATAATATTTATTTATTATTATTATTTTTTATCTCGGATTATCAAGCATGCAGACCAGGTTCGATACTTTTAAGCAGAAGTTTGTTTCAGCTTCTATAGTGTTAGCACCGAATTGAGATCATTTTTTTAAAATCATGTGCGATGCAAGTGATCACAATATAAGATTCGTTCTTGAGTAAAGAATTGAAAAGGAACCTTCGTCATTTACTGTCTATCGTTTTTGCTATAGAAAAGTTTAAATCGTGTTTATTTGGAACTGAAGTTATTATTTTCTTTGACCATGCGGTTCTTAAATACTTGATTGAGAAGAAAGATGAGAAATTAAGGTTAAATTAGATTAATTTTGTTCTTGCAAGAATTTAATCTCAAAATTAAAAAGAAGGGACGTGGGAGCAGACCACTTAAGTTGAATGCCACTCTCAAACGTTGATACTGCCTTGAAGGATGATTTCTCAAACGACAATCTACTTTTGACATAAACTATCTACTCATGGTACGCATATATGGTGAATTATCTTGATTCAGTTATTATATCTTTTGAATTATCGCATTTTAGAAAAGAAAAATCAAATGAGATTCATAATATTATATTTGGGATGATCCTTGCCTACAAAAACATTATTCTAACCAAATAATCTAATAATGATTGTAGAGAATGAGATACAATCTATTCATTCATTTTGTCATTCTTACGCTTGTAGAGGGCATTTCATCCCTAAACGTACCACACATAAAGTGTTAGTGTTGATTTTTTTGGCCATATTTTTCGTGATATTTATCTATTTTGTAAAACATATGATAGATGTTAACAAGTGGGTAATTTAACCCGAAAGTAACTGATGCACTCCCATCAAACATGTGATAGATGTCGATATACGCATAATTTGTTCACGGCAATACATCTCTAAGATCTCTAAGGTTCAGTACTTGAAACAATATCGTTTTAAACATCAATAATCATAATTAAAAGCTCAATTGTATAAATGATACATGACCTAAAATTCAGTGATATCAGCTATAATTTACTGTTATTTTAAGGGTGGTAGTTGCAGCTAATTGTTGCACGCTTTGCCTATAATCAATGCATACATGTTATCATGATTCATGATTTCATCAGCAGCGTCATCATCATATTATATCATCAATATCAACATGTTTAAAAATAACACATTACAATGTTTTTTCCTTTATTATTGTTTGATCACATGCACATATTTTATGATACATTAATTGACAATCAAAAATCAATTTCGAGCTTCAAAAAATGAAATTTGATTACTTCAAGTCTCCATCTTTGAATAAGTTCAACTCAACTCCAGATGATGCAATGCGCATGTTTTGGCATTTCAATAAAATAAGATAGTTTCCCTCTAAAATTTTACGTGCAACAAATATAGGAACAGCAACCAGTTTGCGTACTTCTTTAGAACTGGCAAACCTTGCCTTAGTCCTTGTATTTCATTGTTTCCTTCTCAAAACCGATAGTCGGAAACTGTTTCGCATACTCCTCGACTTCTTTTCGGAGCTTAGCGATTTCAGATTGAAAGTTCGTATCTGATTCCAAGGTTGCTACAAAATCCTTCAACTTTGTTCCTGGATTAATAGTAGAAATATGTGGGCATACATTCCATTTTTACAACATATAAAAATATTGCCCTTTAGGTGATTGATGAAACAGAAAAGTATACCTTTCGTCTCGGCCTTGATTTTCAAGGCTAATTTGACAGCTGCATCGAAGAAGTCAGCTACCTTCTCGAAATCTTCCTCGACAAAACCCCTAGATGTGAGAGCTGGGGTTCCTGAAGCACACGAAACAACAATTTAAAATCCAAGGGACCTAGATAACCACCATAAGAAATATATGGCTTCATGATCAAAGGTGCCATACCCATGCGGATGCCACCGGGAACCATAGCAGACACATCCCCGGGAACAGTGTTTTTATTGGCTGCAATATGAACTGATTCCAATACCTTCTCAACTCTTGAGCCATCAATACCCTGTTGAACACCGTTTGAAAAATAATATAGACTCCAATTACCAACAATTACCAATTAAATAGTTTAAAAGTACTTGAAATTGGAAAACATGATAACAATCCATTTATGGATTCTGGTCAGTTAAAGGGTTGAAAAGTTCTAGACCTATAAACTAATTACTATCAGGTTATTCTATAGGAATTCTCATGACAACATAAAAGATATGATAATTTTTGGTAAATTGGTTAGAAAGGAACAAGAATTCAATAATTACATACCCTGTTTCGCAAATTGACCAAGACTAAATGGTTCTCAGTCCCACCAGATACTAGATCATAGCCGTTCTTTAGCAACCTCTTCAAAAACAGAACACATAGAATTGCAACCATCACAGTTAAATCACTCGAGAGTGTACATCATAAGGCCAAGGTTCACATAAACCAAGTACTAGTTGTGAACTTGCATCAATAGGAGCTGGGCCATTCAGTTTACCTGAGCAAATTTCGTGCAATTACTGAGAACTTGCTCTTGGTAAGCCTTGTACTCCGGTGTTCTGACCTATAAGCACATATGTCAAACTAAATAAATCTAATACTCCGGGCTAACTTGTATCAAAATACTGTATGGCCTCAACTTGGCATTGCATATTTCACTTGCATAAACACTTTTTTTTATCAAAGAATACCTGCTTCAATGCAACTGCTAAACCAGATATAGTGTGATTATGCGGACCACCTTGAAGTCCAGGAAAGACGGCTTGATTAATTTTGTCTTCCAAATCATACACGACCTGTATTGGATGGAACACGAGAAATTGAACAAATCATGTTTTCCTTCTCTTTTTACTCATTCAACTTAGAGTGAAAAAAAGAGAGATAATAAGCATACCAAAACTTAGATCATACTTACCTCTTTCCCTTGTTTGTTAATCTCTTTGACTCCCTTCCTGAAGAAAATCATAGCACCACGTGGACCACGAAGTGACTTGTGGGTTGTGGTTGTCACAACATCAGCGTATTCGAAAGGAGATGGAATAACACCTGCAGCAACCAACCCACTTATATGTGCCATGTCAGCCAACATAATTGCTTTCTGCTTGTCACAGACCTGTCCATAAAGCAGTAAGAGTTAGTTTCTCAACGAAGTCAAAATTTTCGTTGATATATGATAAAATCTACTGATATCAAGACAAGTAAAAGGTGTTACCTTGCGGATACGTGCATAGTCATAAAGGCGAGCATATGCACTGGCTCCAGCAACTAAAAGTTTTGGTCTAAAAAGCACAGCACTTTTCTCTAACTGCAAACATTTTTATTCATCTAAATCAGCTCCTTTAAAGATATCTTCAAGTTCCACCTAAATTTTCCAAGAAAATGCTTGCAAAGAGCTCGTGAGATTGATAAGATCTTTAGCTTATTCGTCACAGGTGAATTTGATTTAAGATGCATGCAAGTTCCATACATCTGAAAATTCAACCGCTCAATTGAAAATCTAACTATAAAGATATAAATTTCTCTTTTGCATGTCCCATTATGCTTAAAAGATACAACACGTAGCAAGTATTCCACACAAGTTCCAGCTGTGAATCTCGAAAGGATTGTGGAAAGTAAACGAAACATTGATCAAAACATGCATCCCTGGTTTTGTACATTATACAGTTACTCAAGTGTAGATACATAGAATAGAATGAAAGAGAAGATCTACCTGATCATAGTCAATGTAACCTGTACTATCATCCAATCTATATGGCATTGTCTCAAAGAATATGGACACAGCAGATATCTTCTTAGTGTCAGTCTGTATAACGCAAAGAAGAATTGAAAATTTGAATTTGAAACACGGTAGCACCATTTGAATAGCCTTAAAGTAATGTTACCTCCTGATACAATTAGAATTAACAAGAGAAGACAAAATGTAACCAAATTCAACAGAAAAACTCTTAGTTAATGGAAATGATAAGCCCTGATAACCATGTGAAGATGTCCACCATGGGGTAATCTAGTGCCATAATTCGTTCATACGGTTTCAACAATGCAGTATAAACTTGAAAGTTAGCAGGAGATCCAGAAAGTGACTGAACATTGACTGCAATAATGAAACAGATACAGGATAAGCTATATGCTGCCTAGAAAGTAAATATTCCGTTCATAGAATACTTCATATGCTCAAAATAAAGTGTATACAAACATTCACTAAATATGGAAGGCATATTGGAATTTTGATAACAACTCAACATGCAGGTCTCAAAATATTCATCTTAGCTTTTAATGGAGGCAAAAAAGAAGACATATGCATAATTCATTCACCTCCCCACTTTGCAGGATCCAACCCAAAAGCCTCTAGGGCACGCTTTTGACACAAGGACTCAGCCATGTCAATGTACCTGACCAAATAAGAATTAACAGCATTAGACACTGACCTTGGCCTACTAAGCTATGCTACTTGGACTTCATTGCGAGATTCCGGCATGGTTACTTAAACAAAAAGGAGGATGAATCTGAGCAACATAGCCATCAAGAATTTATACTAAAATATAAAATTGCAATATAACATATATAAAATACATCTTATTTTCTGATTCGACTCCCTGAAAATTACAATCAGTCTGAAATCAATTTATAAAGGAACCCATATATTTCTTTTTTACTAATTGATTTAAAATTTAAAATATAGAAAAGAAAAAATAGATTTGTCTTAACTCGTTTCCTCCATAGTATCTACCACCAGGATATCCTTCACTGTACTTATTGGTCATGACAGAGCCTACTGCTTGCATCACTGAGACGGATGTAAAATTCTCGGATGGTATAAGCTCTAGTCCCTATCACAAAAATAAAATGAAAACCAAATTGGATCTCTGAATCAATCAATCAATCAACACTTGAATAAAGTTGAAGAAAAGAAAAAATATTAAAAAATTAAAAACCAGAAATGAGAGGAAAAAAGGCTAAGAGATTTGAATTTTATCAAAATACCTTCCATTGCCTAGCTTTCTCGAGTTCGATTATGTTAGCAATTTCAGGATCGATTTCCTCAAGTGGAGCATTCAACTGATGTACCCACTACAAAGGCAATCGCAATCACAGCAAAAAGATGAAAGATCTAAACTCCAAAATCCAAACCATGTTTGAAAAACAATAATTTTTAAAAATGAGGCTTACGTTAGCACGAGCTTTCTCTTTCTCTGCGGCAGCTGTTGACTGAAGCAAATGAAAAAAAAAAGAGAAGGAAATTAAATAAAACATTAAAGAATCAATGAAAGAAGAGAAGAAAAAAAGTTTGAAATATCGGAACCATGCAACGGAGGGAGGTGCGAGTGAAGAGAGGTCTGATCGGAGACTTGAAGGAGGAAGAGAGCCTTCGAAAGCTCATAGCTGCCGCCATTGCTCGGCGTTTTCAGGCGTTCAACAAAAAGAAATGAGTGGATGGGAGTGGGTTGGTGGAGGACCGGAATTGTTTGTTTTTGTGAATTTTGGGTGATTAATTTACTCTATTAATAATATAAGTGCGGGCTGTCAGTGTCAGATTCATCCCAGTTTGTTCGGGCGGGGCGGGGCGGAACGGGTGCGGTGTAACGTCACTCGTTGAAACGCTAGTGTAAAATCATTTTTAAAGTGAAGGTGGTAGGTGTATTCCGTCCAAACGATGCCGTTTCAACTTGAATAAACCCACCCAGACCAAGGTTATCCATTAGAGAGAAGCCCAGCTCCCTGGGCCTATTTCAATAGTTGGTCCACCAAGTTATATACTAGAACAGAATTCTTGTACAAATTTGATACAACTTCACTTTTCTTTTCTTTTCTTTTTCTTTTTAAAATAAAGCAATTTTAATTTTTGAGGAACTTAAAATTCATTATTACATAAACGCTCTTCATTCAACTCATATTTGAAAATTTCAAACTCTCCAAAATTATGAAAAACCTATTTTTTTATTTAAATATACTCAAATTCCATCAGACATGTTATTTCTCGCTTAGTATGTTACCATTTGGAAAATGAGAATTGGTTTCAACAAATAGGAAACGAATGAAATATGGCCTATAAAATTTCCAAAGGCATACTGTTAACAATTTAAGCTCTTACATCCCGGAATAGGTCTTTCTTAAAAGAGGTAATCTCAGCATGCAAATGTACTAGACTCAATGAATAGGAGGCGAAAACCTCGTGTATATTGATAAAAAAAAGCAACTATGATATCTGTACATATAAGGAAGTCATTAATAATTTACCAATGAAGACCTAGTCAACACAATGGCCGTATTGGCACAGAATCAGTGCTCACCAATTAGAGCTGGGCATCAACCATTTGAGAAAGGAACTACATTGCTCTGTGTAGGGAGAGCAATTCTAGAATCTGAATTATTTACTTCACTTTCTCCCTATTTTACAAAAAAAAAAAAAAGGTAAACCCGTGTTTATGTCATCAAAGAATAATTGATAAATTAGAACAGCAAACCAAGAAGCTTGAAAACAAGTTTATTGTTGAGAAACACACCTGTTGAACTGGGATAAGGGAATCCTGCGCTTTCTTAGGAATGTCCGGCAAAGTTCCGTGTGGTGCAATTGTTTAAAACTCAAAATCTGTAGCTTGCAGAATGTTCAGCAGTGAGGGACTGCTTAAAAAATGACAGTGCACAAAAACTTAAAAAGGCAAGACTATATTGGAAAATTGTAAACAATGGGGGAGGGTTTAGTGGGAGGGAATGCATTTGTCCCTACCAGGCTACCACATTAGCAGACCTTTCCAAAACCCCATCCATGAATACTTTTTACCAGTCCCTCAACAATGAGAGAAGTTCTCATCCCTCTCCTGAGTGCGCAATACTTTTCTTGATGGAGAACTTGTCGTGTGCATGGAAATTTAACTTTTTAGTTAAAGCACTAGTAGCAATCATCCCAAAAGAGAATCATCAAGGAGCAGTTAAAAGTGATTTGCTCATCTAAATTTACCAAATACATGAAAAGAACCTTGATGGAAAACGTAGCAAAAGAATCAAGGGAAGCAATTTTTCTTAATTGTAAATAAAGAACATGGGTAAAATGAAGATACGCTAAGTGTCAATTACAGCAGACACACCAACCTTATTTGCCCAAAAAAGTCCACATGCATTGCATAGAGACCTTGGACCAGATGGACCACGTCGCATCATTGGGGTGGACTTTGAGCTAATGCCACAGTGCGTACATCTGGAAAAGTGTGAAAATGACATTATATTGACAGAAAATGTTAAAAATGATGCTACTAACCAATAAAGAAGATATATGAGAAATTTAGTGCAGTACATACAAAGTTTAAAAAATAAAACATATTATCAGATCTTCATAAAAATATGCAAAGAAAAATACTCTGGAAGATTGTACGAAACTCACATAGCATCTGCTGGGTTGTCATCATCCTGAGAAGAAGAGCTTTCACCTCCTTCAGACTTCTTGGAAGATTTGGCAGATGTAAATTGACCCTTATTACGATTCATCCTGGTGCACTCAGATAAATCAGAAACATGAACTTACCATACACAAGATATTTAAAAAAAAACTTTCAATAAGGATAAACCATCTCTAATGAGTTTCTAGACCTTTGACTCAGTTACAAAACATTTACATGCTAAATTTTAAGAATTCAATGTCATCAATGTCATATATGTTCTTTTTTCCAAATATGCAGTCAAATTGTTAATCATTATGTGAAATCCCCTAAAAGGGTAAAAGGTGTATCATCTCCCCTTTATCCACAAGACTACAAAGGTTCTATTGATGCGCCGAGACCAGCCAATTAAAACAGAAGCAAAATAGATTTCTATGCTATTGTTTGAATTCTTTAATATTTTTTTCCCTTCAGCAGATTCCTCACTGCACTTCATACATTTCTTGTACATTAGAAGTATGTCTAACTAATAAACAGTTTAAAAAGACAGAAGAAGTTAAACTTGACTGACTATAACAGTTTAAACATTATGTTTCCACTTTTAAGACATAGGTCCCCTAAATCACCAATATTTTTGGATATAATGAGCTATCAGTGAATTGAAATTGCATTACGATACACCATCCTCACTATAGGTGATTGAATTATAATATTGTTCATATAGATTCCCCAAATGAAAATATTCCAAAATTAATGGCTCCTGCTGATTAAATAAGGACCAGATGAACTTATAGTCGGTTTTAAAAGTGGCAAGAATAGAAAGGTCAGACCACTGCTTATTCGGTTATTCACTGTAGATAATTATACTCTACCAAAATTTGCTGTTTGCATTTGATAGTTTAATAGTAAGATAAAAAAAACGACCATACTGGAAGATTAAAATCAGTAATACCATATGGTGGAAAAAAATTATCCTTACACAATCTAGTATTCCAGGATATATTTTGTTTTGACACTGATTTGAGGACCTCTAACCACTACGTTACTCCCTAGATCTTTGAGAGTTTTCTAACAATTTTATAGTACATCAGACTGTAAACTAGAGGACTCCACAATATATCATTAAGGCAATTAGCAAATTATTGAAAGCTTGTCTACCGGGGCTATACCAGCATGCAGCTATACCTATTTATCACCCTTTAGAATTGGACAATAGTTTATTTTTATTGTTTTTTAGTGCTGAAAACTGTTATAAAGATCCTCAGTGTATAATAAAGAACATATGGCATTCAGAAAATATAGTGAAATAATCTAATGTTAATGATGTATTTATAATAACAAAAGAAGAGTGGCTAAAATGAAATAAAAAAATTATGATAATAATCATCCTTCGCTAATCCAGTATAGCCAATCTATTTCTCATAGTATAATAATCCATACCCTACATAAAGTCCTAATTCATAGTAATTCCTCAAACCTGAAAAGCCCAACAATTTAGTTCACAGTCTAAGTTTGTAAGCATCAATCACAAGAACAACAAACCGACTTTCATAGTTCAAAAATTCACAAGCATATCTAGCTAAAATAACTGCATGTAGGAAGGAAAATGCACACCTAAGAGCAACTTCTTGACGAACACCATATCTGACTTTTTTATCAAAGCATCGCTCTTTTCTCTTCTTACGAAACCTATCTAAAGAGGCTGCCCTATGAGGTTGATTAGATCCTCTCGGGAAGTCCAGAACACCCTAAACAGGAAAAAAAATTAATGGGTAAACTAAGAATTATAAAGAGAACTCAAATTTCTAAATTCAACATATTTAAGAGAATCACTCTTTGGTTCTGAGCAGGCATATCAACACCATGGGGACCTGAAGTCAGTTCACACCCACCAAGTTGTAACAGTACCGCATGGAACTGCAAAAATTCGACCACATAAAACTCTTTACGGTGTGAATTTCATTGGAGTTGCTATAGAAAAGCGAAAGAACAAAAGTATGATTTTGAAGTTGCGCTTTTGGTTCGATAACTTAAAATAAGAGGAAAGGAAATCACGTATCTCTACAATTTACGCCATCAACTTTTGGTTCTTCTAAAAAAACCCTAATTGGCCCAATTGACAAAAGCTGAATAAGAAAAGATACACTGTGATTAACCTTCGCAGGAGTAATAGCATCAAATACGTAGACCTGGCCACGAAACGAGAGAGTGAGTTGACTGGCACCGTCGACTTGTTGAACGGAGGCCAAGTCAGAGGCGGAAGTGCAGCAGATGTGATCGGCTGAGACGTCCTCGACTCCAACGCCTTCGTCGAGGGGATGCGCATCGTAAGAAACGATTTGGTGGTGGTCGGCGAGGTCGGAACCATCGTTGGCGGGGATCTGGCCAAGGATGTTCAGGGGATGAGATTGTCCGTACATTGAGGGAATCGAGGATGTTGAAGCATTACAGTGAAGCCCTAATTAAATAATGAGAAGTTAAAAAAAAGGGAGTGAAAATTGTGTGTGCGTTTTAGGTTTATGGAAGAATTTAAAGAGGAATATATGTCCCGAGAAAGAGAGAAGTGTGAGTTTGAGCCAAGGACTGTACTCTCTTTTCTTTTCACTTTCTTTTATCGGTCCGAATGAAAGAGAAAAGGCCTCTGCCCATACCACTTCCCATTTCCAATTTGAGTTTGGGCCTCTAGTGTATTTCGAGTAAATACAACTTTCAATTATGGGGAATAAACTTTGATTTGATTTAAAAAATTGGTATTTTTTATTTATTTTAAGGTCCATTTATTTTATTGAAATATTTTTTAAAATATTTTTTATATAAAATAAATTATATTTTTTAAAATGTTTTACGATGTCTGAAAGAGGTTGTGCAATAATTTTTCATTAGTTGTGAAGTGTGCGTTTTAGGTTTATGGAAGAATTTAAAGAGGAAATATGTCCCGAGAAAGAGAGAGTGTGAGTTTGAGCCAAGGACTGTACTCTCTTTTCTTTTCACTTTCTTTTATCGGTCCGAATGAAAGAGAAAAGGCCTCTGCCCATACCACTTCCCATTTCCAATTTGAGTTTGGGCCTCTAGTGTTTCGAGTAAATACAACTTTCAATTATGGGGATAAACTTTGATTTGATTTAAAAATTGGTTTTATTTATTTTAAGGTCCATTATTTATTTGAAATATTTTTAAAATATTTTTTATATAAAATAAATTATATTTTTTAAAATGTTTTACGATGTCTGAAAGAGGTTGTGCAATAATTTTTCATTAGTTGTGAATTTTTTAAGAATTATATTTATAAATATTAAATATAATAATTAATATTATTTATTATAAAAATTAATATCATTATTTTTAAAATATTAGAATAATTTATTCATTAATATTATTATCACAATATTATTTTTTATAATTTTATAAATAAAATTAAGATAATATATCTGAATAAATAAAAATATAAATTTTATTTTATTTAAAGTAAAAAATATATTATATTTTAAAAATTATTATTAAATATATTTTAAGTATTTTTATTAAAATATTACTAGATTATTATATTAATGTTAGATACATAAATATATTATTCATTATTAATAATTTAATAATAATATTTTTATGAAATTAATGAATAAAGATACTTTTATTAATAATTTATAATATATTTTTAAAATATAATATAATATATATTATATTATAAATAATATATAAATATAAAAATATAATATTATATTTTTGAAAATATTAATAAATATTTAAATATTTTAATAATTATTATTTTTATTAAAATGATAATAAAATATTATATTAATATTAAATACATAAAATAAAATTATTTTGAGTATTTATTCTTTGAAAGTAAAAGTTTAGAAAATAACTTACGGAAAATTAAACCGTTAGTCATTTTCCAAAAAAATACAAAAGAAATTCTATTGATCAGGAAAATGTTTTACATTGACCAACCAGTTTTCCTCTAACTAAACACTGGGAAATGAGGAAAATATTTTACGTGAAACAAATAAACCCTTAATTTAAAAACACTTACTTTAAATTGACTAAATTCGATTTGGGAAAAAATGAATTCAAGGCAAGTTATAAAGTGGAACTTAATAACTTGAAACTTTTAATAATTAGTATACTAATAATGATTCAATCGAATTGAGAGAATAACCAAGAAGGACGAATTGGCAATTTAAAAATGATATAAGCTTTTTGCATGAAAAAAAGAAAAATCGACACAATTAATTTTAGAGTGATTCAACTTCCTCAATAAAGTCTACATCCACTACCTTAACTTTCATACTAAGGATTTCAAAAAATTCACTAATTTGTTCAAACCTTTTAGGACAAGGTGTAACCTTAAAACACACTTAGACTTATACCCCAAAATATCAAGTGTATAACCCTTCCCAATAAGAAATTAAAAATAAAAAACTTTAAAAAAATCCCTTACAAGGAGTGTGTTTGCACAATTCAGAACAAATAGAACACCTAAGAGAATACTAAAGAAGTATGTATTCTTAAAAGCAAAAATAATTTTTGAGAATGTTAACTTGAATTTGAATCTATGTGATTGCTTTGGTTTTTTGTGTGATCTCTTGTCTTCACATATGACTTGGAATCTTGTTTTTATACTCCTTCATTCAATTTTAACTATTTGGGTAGTTGTGGAGTTAACAGATTCGTTAGGAGAAGTTTTCTCACAATAAATACTGCCCAGATGCTTGGAGTATCGGTACTCGATCTTGGAGTATCGGTACTACATACATTAATTAAAAAAATATAGTTGTTGGAGAAAATGAGTATTTGTACTACTCAAAGGAAGTATCGATACTACTGTTATAAGTAGTACGATACATGATAAGTATCAGTACAAAAAATACATATTAAAATTTAACATTCTAAAAATCATAAGGTTAGTATCGATACTATAATTAGGAGTATCGATACTACTGTTATAGGTAAAATCAGTACTAACATGATATTAATATCGATATGGTATGGGTATCAACATTTCTTATGCCCTAGAATGTGTATTATGACTTTTGATATTTTGGTTTTCTCTAACTAGAATCTCATGAAATTTTACATTCATAGGTGTTTTTGTTGTTTAACCTTTGTATGAATAAATGAATACTAATATTTTGTTCATGATTTTTTGTTTCATGTGGTCATATGTGTGGTATATGCTTAATTTGTGTTAAAATAACATATTTAGACTTAGTTACTGCATTTTTGAACAATTTCATGCATATGGTACTAGTATTGTTTATACAATACTAATTGTTTTTATATCATTGATATTGTTGTATCGATACCATCATATTTAACGCTGAAATATCAATACTCTAGCTAGAAGTATTGATAATGTCAGTCGAGTTTTAAGTTAAAATGTCCAAAAATTCCTAAATTTCTTATTACTCTCAAACCCTAATGCCAAACAATCAAAACCTTCTCAACCCTTTGTAATACCCCAAATATCAGGTCGGTGACCATAATGAAAGAATTTAAAATTTGAAGGATTTAATTGAATAAATGGTAAAGTACAAGAAATTAAGTAGGAAATTTGGTTAAGACTAATTATTAAGAATGGAAGAATGGAGGGGAAATTTAGTCATTTGGATGGAATGAATTTAATATTCATTTAATGGGGGGCATTTAATATAAGTGAATATAAGAATAAATGATAACTTATGTTGGTTTTATCAGCTTCTTATTCCTCACGTCTTAAGCCCTCATAGCAAAGGTAAGACTTCATTTAGTTAGTTTTCCCTTTCGTTTTTAGTTTGGCTTTGAAATCCTTAAGTGATGTGGAAGCTTAAGGAAGGTTTAAAGAGGATTAAAACTAAGAAATGAATGTTTTATTTGAGATTGAAGAAATGAGTTTTTGAGTGATTTGTTAAAATATGAGTTTTTATTGATGTTTAAAAGTATATTTGACTTGTCAAATAAGTAAATAAGAGATTAGAAGCCTTGGATATGATTAAAAACTTGTTAGAAAAAATAGTATGATTCTTGGTTTGGAGTGCTCTTTACAGAATTTGGGTGTTATAAGAAGCTAAATGGAGGAAAGTTAGTTGGGTTAAGTAATGGTGAGTTTAATGTTATTGTTGGAGGTAAAAGTAAGGGATTTAAATGAAATCAAGGTAAAAATTGAGCTGAAAAATGAAAAATATGGGTAAAGGTATCGGTACTGGAAGAACAATACCAATACTATAGATTTAAATTTGAAGAAATACGATGAACAATATCGATACCGATGCAATTAGTATCGATATTGATGTGGGTATCGATTCTAAGAGAAAGGTATCGATACCATGGATTCCATAATATAGAAATTGTATCGATACTGAAAGGGAGTATCGGTACCATAGTATAGAAGTATCGATACCATAGGAGGGGTACCAATATCAGTCAGTCTAAAATGTTAAGATATGATAAATTTAATAGAATTCGAAAATAATAGTACTTTTGAGTATTATTAGAAGTATAAATGTTAGAAAGTATACTAACATTTGTATTGTATGTGTAATTATGGATGCTTGTGTAGGTCAAAATCAAGCTCCTGAGTCTAGCAAGAAAAAGGGCAGAGATAAAGTTACCGATTAGTCGGACATTAGTAAGGCATCCTATTGAGGCATACAAGATGAGTGCATTTATTATGTACTTATATGTTATGATAGTCATAAATGCATTTTGCTTAATGTATGTATTGTATTTACCGTATTGGCACTATGTGTGCAACTTAAGAAATTCATAATGAGTTTATGAATTTCCGTATTGGCACTATGTGTGCAACTTAAGAAATTCATAATGAGTTTATGAATTTCTGTATTGGCATTGTGTGTGCAACTTAAGAAATTCATAATGAGTTTATGAATTTATGTATTGGCACTATGTGTGTAACTTAAGAAATTCATAATGAGTTTATAAATTTCTGTATTGGCATTGTGTGTGCAACTTAAGAAATTCATAATTAGTTTATGAATTTCTGTATTGGCACTATGTGTGCACCCCACGTAATTCATAATGAGTTTGTGAATTACCGTATCGACACTACGTGTGTGAAAACCACTGAATTTATAATGAGTTGAAATATCAATTTATATTTTGATAGTTATGGTATATGTATGTTTTAAAAGAACATTTACCTCATTGTTATTACGCCTCACTAAGTAAATACTTAGTGTGTGTTGATTTCACGTATAGGTATTAGCACGAGTGGAGTAAGGAGTGCATCCGACATCGCCAATCAAGGGTCGTCTCATCAGTAACTATATGACAACCATGTCTACTTTTGATGTATTTAGTTGACATGTAATAGACCTAGGAATATGCTCTGTAAAGTAATTGACTTATAGTGATGAAAAAATATAATATGGTCGAATTTTTTAGATTTGTTTACATGTTAAAAGTTAATGAATGTTTTATTATTATTAAATTAAATAGTTTTATAATTTGAAACAAAATTTTATGGGTTTTACAAATAAGTATATGCTTTTAAAAGTCATGTGACACCTGTGACTTGTGTATGGAAACGTATACAGGAAATGGGTGTTATATTTATTGGTATCAGAAC